GTAATGAAGGGTTACTGTCAGGGATTATACTGTTACACAACTTACACCACTTGTTGCGAAGCAAAACAAAAATTACTGCAACTTGCTTGTTACTTTCCTCGCACTACAGGTTATAGTCAGCAGGAGTAGATAAAAGAAAGAAAAAAACAAATTGCGTCACACACACACACAGACCCATTTTGTCTTTATGGTGGCAACAGCTGCATAAGTTAAAGTAAGCACCAACTAACTTAACTTGAGCCCACTAAACAGCTGCACAGGTAAAGCTTGGTGACACGCAGCTTGTCTGAATGCACCGCTTTTGGCTGGAAGCTGGTGTAATATATCACCTCAAAAAAAAGGAGTCACAGAACAAATTTCAGCTGTAGCCTGCAGCCAGCGGCCTGCTCCAGCTTGTGGGAATGGATATGATTTTAGAGATTCTAGAGTGAACGTACACAGTATGTACTGCAGTCACCCTCCAATATCTAGTTCCACCTATTACATTACATATCCTATTGGGGGAGATAAGATTGTTTTCTCTAATGCTGTTGCTTCTTCTTGGCTTAAAGGGTTTAATTTGAGTAAAGCATTGGTTGTGTTGCATTTGAAGCTTAAATCGACTTACTATTAGTCCATTGCTTTGCCTTTTTAACCCCAGTCTACTCAGCTCCGTGCCATTAAGACTACAGTGACGTCAAAAGTTTTGGGCGAGGCTGGGCACATCGCTACCAGTTTGTCTTCCATTTTAGAGCAGCAGTGAAAAAACAACCTTCACTTCCTGCTGCTGAAAGCTAAGATTAAGTCCCAACCTTTGGTCAAGTGTCGCTACACGACAGTCCCATGACGACTGGTAGCAAAGCAAACAAAAGGACTGATGTAAAGCCGATCACTCAAAACCTCTGCAAACACATTTTGGAGCGAGCAATGAATCTGAATGTGGTGAGAGACGGAAAAGTTGTTTGACAATCTGGAATGTTTACAGTTTTTTTTACATATTAAATGAGTAAAAAATGCAGCATCGAATGACCTCAGTCCTACTTCGCCATTGTGTTTGCTTTGGCCGGGGAGTCTATTTCTGTTTCCTTGAAAAGTGATATGAGTGTTCTTTGATAGTGTGCGACCGTGACAGTGTGTGAGAGTCACTCCCCGCCTCTCTGCGACTTGGGATCCCAAAAAACCCCAGATAATCACTAAACATTCTCTTGCCATCCCATCGAGAACCACACAACACTATTCTCGCTGCTAAATATTAGAGCCAGATGAAAATACTCATAAATTACCAGCCAAACAATATGCTGTTATAGTGGCCTGTCACAGATATATCGGTGTTTGCACATGTTTTCAGATGTGTTGATTGTTTTGAACAGAGCATAATGCAGAAAAAGTAATTTAGAAATGGTTTCACTGCATAGTTTGTCCAGCAGAGCGGCTCCAACTCACTGTCTGCAGCACATGTAGCAGAGACAAGCACTGTCATTCTGATAGTTTGTGAAATATGTTCCTATAAAGTTCATTAATGATCACCTCATAATTTTCCCTTTTGATTACAACTTGAACCCTTGACCCCTACAGTGAGGGGATCTGGTGGTGCTGTTTTGTTGTGGAGGGCATTTTACCGGCTTATTGTGAGTTCACTCAACCCTTTAGAGGGAAGGGTCACTGCAAATCAACACAAAGTCGTTGTGAGTGATCAACATTATCATATGATGGAAGCATTTCTACCCTGATGGCAGGAGGACAATGCTACCATCCATAGAGCACAAGGGGCCACTGTATGGTCTGATGAGCATGAAAATGATGTGAATCACTGGTGTTTGAACACCTATGGAAGGTTTAGGATCAATGTGTTCAGACAGAACTCGCCATCACGATCATCAAAACACCAAATGAAGAAATATCTTTTGGAAGACTAGTGTTCCTTTCCTCCAATAGAGTCCTTGAGAGTTGACAAGCTGCACCCTAATAAAACCCTTCGTTTTGGTTTTTCCTCTAATTTGCCACCAATCTGTGTATTTAAAGAGAACATTGGTCAAAATCTCAAATTTTCACTTCCGGAACTCTGAAATCAGTCCCAAAAATTACAGTATCAGCCTTTACTAAGTATATATATATGTATCACAAAACTGTGACTTGGGCTTACACATGCAAAGTGACGGAACAAATAAAATCCTCACAGCATTCAAAGTCAGTTTGCCATTGTGCTTGACTTGTTTGTTGCGATGAAACGGATGAGAACATTATGATCTTCTCGGATATAAATGGCTTCTGTCGCAGGAAATTAAATTCCAAATGCGACGTATTTCATGCGAAATGCCACGCAGATGCAAATTCAGATAAGATGTAAGATCTCCGAGGCAATTGTTGATATTTAAACTCTCAGGTAAAAGAGCCTTTGAAATGAGTCCGTGTGACAGATAACAGAAAATATCTGCAACGCAACGTTTCAGCTCTCCAAACAGTCCTGACACTGCACACGGTGGAATCTCACATGGCTGGGAATTGTGCGAGTTTTGCATGTGTCCCAACAGAAAAGGCCCAGAGAGGGGAGAGCCATGTGGAGACAGGAAAAGCACTGGTGCACAAAAACAAACAAACAAGGCCCAAGCAGCGGTAATTAAGTCCTCATTAGTCCTTGTTATGCACAGGAATGCAGCCGAGCGGCAGACAGCACTGTCATTTCTGACCGACCGTGGCCAAAGCCCGGAGCTGGTATGGACCCCCGCTCTGTGCAACAGTGAGCGTTTACCCACAAGCCCTCTGTGTTTCCACCTCAGCTGGCACGTACAGGGCGAGGAGTGTTTTGCATCAATTTTTGTGGAGCGGGTAGGGGGAGGAGGACGAGGAGAAGGAGGGCCCCTCGGCCGATAGCCACGGGGCTGGGAGTACGGCTCCTGGGTGTGCAGCAAATGCGCGTTATCAAAGAGCAGCGTGAGGCGTGCAGCATGTGCTTTTGTGTAGTTTCAGGGAACCAGGACAGGTGGCTTGACCAAAGAGAGAAAAGTAATTACATCCAAGTTGGAGTTTGTTTAAAAGACGGCAACAGAGAGACGGAGCGCTGTGAGAAAGTAGCAGTGGCTTTTAAACATTAACCAAACAAATACCCAACAAGAAAATCAAGAGCGCAGCATCGCATGGAAGAAAATAAAGAAACAATGCAGGCAGCAGATGAAGCGATTAGGTGAGGCAGAAAGTGATGGGCACAGAAAAAGTCCACACAGGAGAGGGAACAAGGCCTGCACTTACTCCTTTTATTACCCACTTCCCTCGAGCACTCCGAGTCTCATTTAGCTCTGAAACTGCATACACCTGACCCGACACATCAGCGTAACATCCACTGGGCAAACTGCACGCACACACATGCAGTGCACGCATGCCCTGGAGGCCATACCTGGCCCTACTACGCCCATTTACAAAAGCCTCTACTTCTAGTTTGACTCAGAATTGGAGGAAAAATCCATCAAAAGTCAGGAATGCACTTTAAAAATAAGCCCGTAAGCCACACATTGCTCGTGACAGGCACTGCAAACTTTAAAATATGCTTCTTTATACTTTAATAATGTGGATTTCATACAGGTAGAGTACAATACGCCGGGAAAACTGGATACATATCACATGAAAGTCAACATTGAAAGCAAGCAGCACCGTTCACTCTCGCTATCTCCAAAGCAACAGGTCACTCCCTTCCAACACACACAAAAAAACTGCCAGAGAATTCAATCCAATCGATCCACGGTGCCTCGCCCGCAGTCACACAGAGCCAACTTGCGCAGAGTAAGGTCTTGGCATCTGTTGCATTTGAACAACAGAGCCTCAGTACCTGGGAAACCAGATAACAGCAGCGGTTAAGAGCTCGCTGTGACTCTGGCTGTGTCAACAATGCCCCCCCTTTTCACTACCTGGATACACACTTGTACGCACACGCTCAGATGTACCAACACACACACACACACAGAAGCATGTACGAGGAGTCCTACATGCACACAGCAAACTCCGGAGATGACGCCCGAATCTTGTTTATCGGCTGAATGGAAACGCATGTGTCAAATGCAGCTTTAATTCGGCAACTGTTTGACACAATAAACTCAGCTGTTATCTGCGGATCAAGAGTGCAGGTTAGGCAAACAAAAGAAATTTCAGCTCTTTTTATGTTGTGAGATAAGCGAGGCCTGGTTAACCCGAGGACATTCATCATACTTTCCACTCGCAATTTCCTCTAGAATATAAAAAAAAAAAGTTTGACACCTTTTTCTGCGTCAGTGTCGAGTTTTACCCTCACAGGTGTGATATGGCAGTTAAAGTGGAAAATCCATCCAGAAACCATCTGTCTGTCTGAATTATGACTGTGGGGTGTAAACAGATCCAGTCAAAGGCAGCGTCTGAGCCCTCCTCTATTATCCTGCGAAGCTCCATTCCCAGACACACCCTTCTTCTCACACACATCCACAGCCGCATGTGTGTGTGTGAAGACCTTCACTCAAAAATAACTGGATTGTACTCTGCATTTTTTTGGCATCTTCTATTTGTGCACTCGACTGTGTGTTTATTTGAAATCTGGTCCAACAAGTTCCAAGTGTTGAAAATGTAATGGAAAGCATTGTTCACCTTAAAAATGCATCACGTGTCGGTGCCAACCAGGTGCACGATAAATGTGCACACACCCACTAGGGCAGTCAAATACGAATGCAAATATCGCTCACACACACAGACGAGAGTCCTCAGGAGGAGTTCATTCACTTTAAAGGAGCCATTTTATAATGAGAGATATTTATTCCCCATAATGCAACTTAATGGCATACTTCTTTTTTTTTTTAAAGCTCACATCTCTAGTTTGTAACACTGGCTTTCTACCTGGTCCAAATATTGTATTATTCCCAAGCAGAAATAGGCCTAACTTATCAAATTTAGCTTTGAGCCACATCCCAGTGATGCATAAACTGAACCTAATGGCTAAAATCAGTGTAATGCTCCTTTAGAAATAATAACCTCTGTGTGTGTGTGTGCTCTTCCCTTCCCCTCACCTGGAAGATGAGCACTTTGAAGTTGTTCCTCTTCAGCAGGTGGTTGTGGTTGGCCTCCAGCTTCTTCACCTGGACCGCCTGCTTGTCCATGCGCTCCTTCACTTCCTTCAGGTGCGTGCTCACCTTGCGGGATCTCTCCAGCAGCTTGCTCACGCTGTTGGAGGTGCTGATGTGGGTCTTGGACAGGCGGGTCACGTCCCCCTGCACCACCTTCACGGCGCCCTCCAGCTCGGCCTGCCGCTGCTCCATCCGCTGCTGGTTGTCCTGCACCGCCTCCAGCATGTTGACCAGCTTGTCCAGCAGCGCCACCACGGTGATGGCGCTCACCTGGCCGCGGTCCACCGGGCTGCCCGGCGCCACGGGGCCGGTGGGGCTGGTGGGGCTTTTCAGACCCAGCCGGGAGAGGGTGCTGGTCGGGGTTGGGGAGGACGGGGCGGAGGAGGCGCCGAAGCTCGGGATGAGGAGCTCCGCGTTCTCGGGCTGCTGCTGCTGCTGCTGCGGCTGCTGCGGCTGCTGCGGGAGGGTGTGGGTGCTGCTGGAGACGCTGGTGGCCTCGGCGTGGGACGCGTCTTCTTCCATGGCGCACAGGTGGTCGGGAGTCCCGCTCTGCTGGGGTGTGTTCACCTGATCTGGTAGCTCACAGACTCTGCTGCTGCTGCTGTCACTGGAGGCCAGCTGAGGAGTGCAGGCGAGAGTGTTTTACTTCTCGGAGTTGATTCGGCCTCCACGCCCCTTTCTGGTTTTCTCCCCACCTCGCGCGCGCACACACACGCACAAACACGCTGGGAAACTTTCAAAACACCTCCCCTGCAAGCGAAAGGGAGGGGCCAGGGGGGTTGCCATGGGAACCGTGCAGGCCTAGCCCTATTGACAGCAATGGAGCCAGAGCTGGTTGTGTGTGTGTGTNCACACACGCACAAACACGCTGGGAAACTTTCAAAACACCTCCCCTGCAAGCGAAAGGGAGGGGCCAGGGGGGTTGCCATGGGAACCGTGCAGGCCTAGCCCTATTGACAGCAATGGAGCCAGAGCTGGTTGTGTGTGTGTGTGTGTCCTTCCTTGTGTGCTTTTGCTGTGTGGCTGCCATCCATTCCAACTCTGCCCGGCTGCATTTGCAAAATATGTGCACTCTTGTTGTCTGTATGTGTGTCAAAGTGTGCTGGGCTGCACTGTGATGTAGTGTCAGGGATGTGTGCGCGCGTGTATAACAATAAAAAGGACAATTAAACTATGATCTACATCACTGAGGCCCATGTTTCTTGTGTTTTGTTTTGTTTTTTTTCTCCTGACATCCTGCAGCCTGAGATAAATAAATCATACACATCGTTTCCTTTCGTTTAGTGCATGTGTGTGTGTGTGTGTTACATTACTGGGTGTGTGATCCCCCCTCTCTTTCCTCCCCGCTCTTGTTTTCGAGCTCTGTGTCATGGCATGGGGCACACAGACATGGAAATGTGGAAATCCCTGTTTCAACAATGAGCTCATCCGTGCCCTGGCAGGCTGCCCCGGCCTCCCTCTCAATCTTTCTCTTTGTCGCCATCACTGTAAATCTTTTATTCACAGCAACACGGTGGCTTTTTCAGTCCACCGTGTGTTAAAATTAGATAAATATGTGGTGTTTACAAGGAAAGTGTCAGCAAGGGTGCCGGGGATGCCATTTTTGCGTAACGGCAGAATGGCGTATGTGTTTCTCTGCTGCATTGCTACGATGATGAGATTCTTTTATTTTTACATCACTGCAGACTCTGGAAAGCATTCAAACCCCACCTGAGTTTTATTGGATTCCACCTGGTTCAGTAAATGCTTGGTCATCCACTATTTCACCTTAAAGCAACACAGAGTGGCCACACCCCTAAACTGAGATTAGCTTTCTGCAAACAGACAAGCCACACCTTAGAACAATATTAAAACATGTTACTGGAGTCACGGTCCTTTTTAAATCCAACCTACAGAAAAGCATTTTCAAATTTTGTAGCTGTTAGCTGTAGTCATTTTATAACTTCTAGTGGCTCTAGATTAACAGGTGCAATTCAAATGTTCTTTTCTTTTCACATTTTGCGAAATAAGCTCATTTTGTATTCTTACAACGATGAAACTGCCAGTTGTGCAGCTTTTCTGTAACGACCAAGCTACAGTCAGAAGCAAGTTAGTTTAGCTTAGCATAAAAGACTGGAACAGGTGTAAAAATATGCACACCATCACCTCTAAAGTTCATCCAGTCATCAGTCAACAGCACATTAAATCTCATTTTATTTGTCAGTCGCATAAAAACGAAGCGTAAAAATGTCACCATGAGTTTTTTTTTAGTGTGTGTGGGAGGTTTCACAATGTCTTGGCCCTGGTGTAGTGACCTTTTCACGGTTGTTGTATAGAATACATACATGAGATCTCTGTTAGGTAGGTACCTTTCTAGGCCCTGTCGCTATTGGCCACTTTGTTGGCCTCAGCCAGGCTAGATGTTTCCTTGCTTCATGTTTGTCAGATGAAAGCGATTCCAATCAAAACTGTACAGTAGGCCATCTGCTATTATCAAAAACTAGATTTTTTACATTATAAATACAGGCCCTACAGTGCAACAAAAACCCATCGCTGAGATTTAAATCTTTCATTTTTTTAATGCTTCCTATACTTATATTTATTTTCGATACTATGAGTAGCACAACGCTATTTCTACTGGACTCAAATCAGCAACTTCCTTGGCCAGGTCATGGTTTTCCCTTTTATCTTGATTAGAAACTCTTGTGTGTTTTTGGCAGTGGGCTTTGGACGGTTCTCATGCTGGAATATTTGTCTCCTGCCAAGCTTCTGCAGACCGGGAGTCATCTCCTCAGCCAGCATTTTTCTATATGCACAGGCATTTATGGTGCCATCGATAAATGTCACCCTCCCAACACTTCTGACACTCATTTGGTCACATATCGTCACACTCACACCTATGTGCTTCACTGTCAGGCCTGTGCTTCCACTGTGCAAGACATGCTGCACCCTATTTAAGCCAAACTAATTCATCTTGGGCTCATCTGACCAACGAATGTGCTCACAATAGTCAATCAGACTTCTTTTCAAAGGTTTTTTTTCTTTCCTTAGATGCTGTACATACGGGCTTATGTTGTGCGCTGCCCTTCGTACTGCCTGAGCTCTCACAGGAGCTCAGATTGCCACTGATAACCCCTGTGTCAACTCTGAGGCACTTACCTGCCGAGAACTAGTCCGTGCAAGTAAAGTACTGTCTGTGGCGTCATTTTAGGAGGACTGCTGCTGCAGCTCTGATTAGTGGTACCGTGGCTCGTTCTATAAATACTGCTGTGACTGTGTTTCCACTGATTTCAGTTGGTCACCCATCTTACTGTGTTTTTTTCCCTTTGCAAAGTCTCACAATCAGATTTTCAGTTCTTCTGAGAATTCTTTTCCATGTGGAGCCATGATGCAGACATGCAGATAGACACAGTCCATGAGTCTAAAACTGAGAAACTTCTAGTGTTCACAGGTGATTTTAGAACTTCATTTATGCAATTAGGCTAATTGGAAATCCCAGGTGTACTCTGTTAGGTTCAGTAATCCCAGGTGTTTTCACTATTGTTGCACTGAGTTTCTACTATGGAGCCTATATTTTCAGTACCGTCTTTTTAAAGAATTGAGGCGTAGAAATAATGCAACTGTTGAGAGCTGATGCAATATCTTATCATTTAACATTGAAGTGATATCGCACGGGAGTGTACTCAC